TCCTTCCTTCCTTCCTTCCTTCCTTCCTTCCTTCCTTCCTTCCTTCCTTCCTTCCTTCCTTCCTTCCTTCCTTCCTTCCTTCCTTCCTTCCTTCCTTCCTTCTTTTCTTCCTTTCTCAACAAAATACAAACTCTGTTCAAGGCACTAGACAATGAGGATAGAAAGATAAATTATAACCAGAGAACCAATACATTCTAGTAGAAGAAATAAGACATGAATAGAAATAACTATAATACAAAATGGAACATATCATGTTCAAATAGAGATATGAAAAGGGTGCTAGGAGAATTATTAGGAAGGAGAGATTATTTCCATGTGAGAATCAGTTATTGCATCACTGAAAAACAGTTGAGCTCAGCCTTTAGTGATGGAGAGGGTTTTAATGGGTAGAGACAAGAGGGGAGAGAATTTTAGGAGTAAAGCAAGTGTTATGATCAACTCCTAATCTAACTTTCTATTACCTATTTAGATCCTTCCTGTCTTTGATTGACGACTATGCCAAATGTCCAAACTTACTTGACCCCAAAACCTTCATTGCCTGACTTCACCAACTGCTTTTAACTGTGGTCAACCTTTCAATACCTTAAACTGGTCACTTGATGCCTAGATCAAGTTCCTGCTGGGTAGTAGGACTAACTGTGACTCCTTGAAGTGTGACAAATTCAGTTTTAGGACAAATTAGGAAAAAAAAAACCACAGCAGGGAGTACATTATGAAAATTGTTACCTTGAGGTGATATAAGTTGAAAATATAATGAACTTCATTTAGATAAATTCCTAGATGATAGAAACACAATTGATTGTTAATGGGAACTAGGATATTTGGAACCTGTTTGTACATTTTGAGAATAGTGTCACAAAAGACTATTGTGGTTCTCTTGAAACCATACTTTGATGCCATTGAATCCAAGGCTGCATGGACCATGGAGCTGACCTCAAACAGGTGATTCTGATAGTTTTATGCTCTATGGAAATTATGATTTTTTTCTGGTGGGCTGAAGCAGAATTTATTACTAAAAACAGCATGCATTTCACTCTGTCTTCTGCTCAACAAACAGCTCGTTCCTCATCGATAGAATGCATGCAGTATTATCCCCTTTTTAAAGATAAAAAAAAAAACAAGACTCACACAAGTTAGATGACTTGCTCAGGGTGACACAGAAAACTAGCAAGGATGATACCAAACCCCAGGTATTCTAACTCTGAGCCCTGTGCTCTGTT